TTCAAAGCCGAAGGAAGGTCCAGCTCCCCTCAGGGGCCTACTCCATACCTGGAGTGAGGGAAAAAAAGCGGAAGGGGGGATGCTGGAGAGATAGATAGGACAGGGGGAGGGCACCTGCTTTACACACGACTGACTCAGGCTCCATCCCGGCACCACGTGGTCCCCTGAGCCCTGCCAGGTGTGAGCCCTGAGTACAGAGGCAGGTGTCAGCCTTGAGCACTGCTGGGCTTAGACCACCCCCCAAAAAATAGAGAGAGGGAGGGGCTGGAGCGATAGCACAGCAGGCAGGCCATTTGCCTTGCACGCGGCCGACCCAGGTTCGAGTCCCAGCATCCCATATGGTCCCCTGAGCACCAGGGGTAATTCCTGAGTGCAGAGCCAGGAGTAACCCCTGTGCATCGCCAGGTGTGACCCCAAAAAGCAAAAATAAAAATAGAAAGAGGGAGAAAGGGGGGAGGTCAGGGCTCCTCCTCAGCTACTTGTCCAGGCCCCCTGGGCTCACAGCCGGCAGGCAGGCGGCTGCAGCTGCCTGGACCTGTACAGGCCGAAGCCCATGCCAGGGGTCTGACCCCCGCTGCTCAGCTGAGCTGGATTAAGAGCTTGCTTCGTGCCTTCGCAAATTCCATCGGCCGGCCCCCCGGCACCCCCAGACGCAGCAACTGGTAGCACGGAGCAGTTGTCCACGACAGCAGTCACGCCAGCAGCCGGGCTGCCCCTTTGGGAAGCGGAGAGTCGAGGGGGACAGGGGCTGGGAGGCCGGCAGAGCCCCGAGCCATGAGGACCTACTCGGACATGGGCGTCTGCATGGAGGCGGCAGAGCTGAGCAAGGTGAGGGCGCGGGATGCCCGGCCAAGACCCCCTGGGCCGCGGCCACCACACTCAGCCCTCAACCCTCTTTCCTTCAGACCGAGTTCAGCAACCCGGCCTTTGAGCCCGAGTCCGGGCTGCCCGGCGTCGCACCAGCCCTCCAGGAGGATGCCAGTGGAGCACCCCGAGTTCCCTGGCCCGGTAACCATCTTCAAGGGGCCCCCTGGGAGTCTAGCCCAGAGGCCCTGAGAGCTGAGGGTGGGATGTGGGGTACCCGAGGGAAGGGGTGTTCAGGACCCCCATGCTTGCAGGTCGGCGTCCCCGGGAGCTGCGTGCCGACTGCCGCTTCTCGGGGCTGTGTGCGCTGCTGCTGGCCGGACTGCTGGTCCTGCTGGCCGGGTTGCTGGTGGCTGTCATCCTGGCCCGTGAGTGCCAGGGCTGCGAAGAGGCCAACGGGGTCTCCGGACCTGGACCCCAGCCCCTCTGAGCCCACCCCCTCCTTTTCCCACTGGCAGAGCTGCAGGCGCCACCGTCCTCGGGGGCCTCCCATCGTCCACTGCCTGCCCGGCGTCCCCCCAGTCCCAGCCCCACTTCTCAGGCCACGGGGTCCCCCAAAGGGCAGCAGGAAGCAAGCGGCAGCCCCACACCCACGCCCCCACCCAGTGAGTACGGGGGACAGACGTCCCAGACGTCCCTGCTGGGGAGGCAGGACCTGGAGAAGCCCTTTGGCAACCAAGGACCTCCCCTCTCCCCCACCCCTGCAGCCTGCGGGGGGCTCCTTCCCGGCCCCCAGGGCTTCTTCAGCAGTCCCAACTACCCGGACCCCTACCCCCCCAATGCCCACTGCGTGTGGCACATCCGAGTGGCCCCTGGCCAGGCCATCCAGCTCCGGATCGAGACGCTGAGCATGGAGAGTGTGGCTTCCTGTCTGTTTGATCGCCTGGAAATTGCCCCAGAGCCTGACGGGCCCCTCCTCAGGTGGGTCCCTCCGCCTGCAGGAGCTCAGACCTCGTCCTGAGCCATGTCTAGACAACAGACATGGGGAGTGGTGGGGGGATAGGATGGTCTGGGAGGAGAAAAACCTCTGACCTCCAACCATGCTGGGACAAGTCACGTGCCCTCTCTGATCCCAGTTTCCTCCGGCCCTCCATCTCCATGAGAGCCAGACCTGGACCAGGAAGAGCAGAGCTCCTGGGGAAGGGGTGGGGCCTCTCAGACCAACTGGTCACCCAGTTAGGGCTTGAGGAAAAAGGAGCCCAGTGCCCATGTGGTCTCCCTGAGGGCTGGTCCTGATCCGCCCTTACCACCCCCATCCCCGGCTGCCCGCAGAGTGTGTGGGAGGGTGCCACCCCCCACCCTCAACACCAACACCAGTCGGCTGCGGGTGGCCTTCGTCTCGGATGGCAGCGTGGCCGGCTTTGGCTTCCACGCCTGGTTCCAGGCCGTGGCCCCAGGACACGGTGAGTGCTTCCCCCTCGGCCACTCCAGGGGCACCGGGGCTGCAGGTGAGGAGGGTCCTCACTGCTCATGCCCCCAGGGAGCTGTGCCCAGGGTGAGTTCCCCTGTGATGGGGGCGTCTGTCTGCTCCCTGACTCCGTGTGTGACGGCTTTGCCCAGTGCGCGGACGGCAGCGACGAGCTGGACTGTGGGGCCAGGATCTCAGGTACAGACTCTGCTTTCGGGGGGGTGGGCTGAACCAGGACCCCCAACCCACTCTGACCCAGCCCCATGGACATGCCCACGGTGGGGCGGGGGGAGGTGGGGAGCCATAGACCCTGGCGGCCTCCTGAGTCCCCCGTCTCTCCCAGGGTGTGGGGGTAACCTGACGGGGCTCCAGGGCACCTTCTCTGCACCCCGTGCCTTGCAGCGACCTCACCAGCAGGTAAGCAGTGCCTGGCTGGGGCTGCCCAGAGCCTGGGGTGTGGGTGGGGGGCGCGGCCAGAGTCCAGCTCCTTCCCAGGCTGCGAGCACTTCTCCGCGGCCCCCGGGGGCCCCTGGAGTGCACGGCAGGAGGAGGTCGAGCATGGCCATCTGCGTTCTGTCCCCCAGTTTTGCAGCTGGGACATCTGGGTGCCGACAGGCCACGGCCTCCAGCTGCAGTTCCACAACTTCAGTGTGGCGGCCTCCGAGCAGTGCCGGAGGGACTACGTGGAGGTGTACGAGGGCAGCGGCCCCCAGGCCCTGGCCCTCCTGGGCAGGTAGGACCAGGGTGCAGAGAGGAAGCACCCTGGACTCCCTACCAGCCCCCACAGGCTACTGGAAATAACCCAGATGATACCCCTCCCCTTCACTGTCACCCTAAGAACAGGCTAGCCTTTCTCACCCCAAAGTCCTTATTCTTTTCCTTACTTCCTCTCTGGGGACTCCTTTTGGGACCCCAGTTCCTCCCACCCTATGGGCCCCCTGTCCATTAACCCTACCAGCCCCGGTGGACTGTTCTGTTCCTAAGGACTCAACGTTCCAGAAGGTTTTTTTTTTTTTTTTGCTTTTTGGGTCACACCCAGCGATGCACAGGGGTTACTCCTGGCTCTGCGCTCAGGAATTACCCCTGGCAGTGCTCAGGGGACTATATGGGATGCTGGGAATTGAACCCGGGTAGGCGGCGTGCAAGGCAAACGCCATACCTGCTGTGCTATTGCTCCAGCCCCACAATGTTCCAGAAGTTTAATGCTTTGCTGAATGTGTGTCTTCCTCACGGGACCCCCATGGGCCCAGAGTTAGGGACCAGCCTCCTGTCCCCTGTGTTGTGGCACCCTGGGTGGGAGGCCCAAGGCGTCCTGCGCCCCGGCAGGTTCTGCGGAGGCTCTGAGCCGCTGGGCCCTCTGCGCTCCGTCCACCCGCGCCTGACCGTGATCTTCCGGACACAGCGCGCTGGCAGTGGGGGCTTCTCCGCTGCTTTCAGGGCGCTGAACCACACGGAGAGTAGGTGCTCCCGGGCGGTGCTCCAGGGCCGGAGGCCGGGAGGGTGGACCGCGGGTGGCTGGGCACTGCCACGGCCCCTGTGCCCACAGACCACTGCGGGCCCGGACAGCGCTCCTGCCTGGACAAAAGGTGCCAGGGTCTGCGGTGGCCCTGCGAGTCATGGGGAGACTGTAAGAACTGCAGCGGCGCCCTGCCCCCGCCCCCAGGTGGGACGCCCTCTCTGCGCCCGGTCCTCACAGGTGCCCAGAACCTGGACCATTTCCTAGAGCAGGGGTGGGACCCGTGAGGTTCAGGGTGACCCCAGGAATCCAGAGTTGGGGGACTTCAAGAACAGGCCCCGTCTGGTCACACAAACAATTCCCAGGATGCACGGGAGAGCCCCTCGCAGAACGCCCCCCAACCCCAGTGCGGTGGACCCGGCGCCCCGAGCTCAGCGGGGTGCCCTAGGGCGCAGAGCCATCCGGGGCGGGCTCGCTCCGGGGTCCCCAGCGTGCCGCGCCCCCCGCAGGGCTGGCGTGCGAGCCGGTGCGCGTGGAGATGTGCGCGGGGCTCAGCTACAACAGCACCGCCTTCCCCAACATCTGGGGGGGCGTGGCCACGCAGGCCGAAGTGGCCGAGGTCCTGCGCGGGTACCAGGTGCGCTGGGCGGGGCGGGGCGGGGCGGGGCTGGGCGGGGCGGGGCGGGGCTGGGCGGGGCCCTCGTGGGGCCGAGGGTGCCTGAGCCCCCGCTCTCCTCCCCGCCCCCCCCAGAGCCTGACCAGTCTGCCCTGCTACCCGCACTTCCGGAGGCTGCTCTGCGGGCTGCTGGTACCCCACTGCACCCCGCTGGGCAGCGTGTTGCCCCCCTGCCGCTCTGTGTGCCAGGAGGCAGAGCACCAGTGCCAGTCTGGCCTGGCACACCTGGGCACCCCCTGGCCCTTCAACTGCGACAGGCTGCCCGAGGCGGAGGGTGTGGACACCTGCGCCCGGCCCTGAGCCCTGGGCAGCCCCGCCCCCACCTGCCCATCTTCAGGGCGGCGGGCAGGGGCGCCAAACGGGGGCTCTAGCATCCTCCCCCCACACCCCTATCTCCTTTCCTTCCCTTCCCTCCCCCTGCTGCAGCGCCAGCTCCTGACCTGCCCTCGGATCCTGTTTTCCCTCTGATTGTCCAGCCCCTCTGCCCCGAGACTTTGTCAGTCAAGTCCAAACGGGCATCGGGCACCCCGCAGGCCCTGTCCAGCGCAAGGGACCCCGCTGCTCAGAGCCCCCCACCCAGCCCGGTCCTACCTACCCCTCACCGCCCCTCCCTGCTGTGCGCTCCGAGGCCCGCGGTCTCTGCCCCTCCTTCCTCGCCCCAAACTTTGGCGGGCGGCCGGGCGACACCACGAGTTATTTCCCTGCTATTTCCCGGCCCGGAGCTCTTGGCCCCCGCTCCTCTGGTTTCCTTTCCGAGCGAGTCTGGGAGGAGCCGAGCGGCGGCGCGCGAGCGGGACGCGGGGACCCCGGGGCAGGGGGCGCCTGGCCGGGGAGAAGCGCGGGCGGAAGCGGGGCGACCCTCGGGTCCCCCCGGCGCCCCCAGAAGCGGAGAGGGCGGCCGCGCCCGAGGAGCCGAGCTGCGAGAGGGGTGAGTGTCGGAGAGAAAGGGGGTGAGGGAGGGGTGCGTGGGGAAGCCTGGGCGCGGGCGGTGGGCGCAGAGGGGAGACCCGCCGCTAGGCTCCCTCTGCAGCGGGCTCGGGATGTCCTCGGGCCCCCAGTCTCAGGGGCACGGGAGTGGGCTGGGGGTCGAGTGGGCCGCGCGGGGGAGGGGGTCCGGCGGGCCCCCGGACTCTGGGGCCCGACTCCTCTCCTGCCCAGACGCCAGGAGGACCCCAACGCCATGCGGCCGCTCCTCGCTCTGCTGCTTCTGGGCCTGGCGGCCGGCTCGCCCCCGCTGGACGACAACAAGATCCCCAGCCTGTGCCCGGGGCACCCCGGCCTTCCAGGCACGCCGGGCCACCACGGCGGCCAGGGCCTGCCGGGCCGAGACGGCCGCGACGGCCGCGACGGCGCGCCCGGGGCTCCCGGCGAGAAAGGCGAAGACGGGAGACCCGGTAAGGGCGCACGGTCGGGCGCGGCGCGGCCCCGCCCCGGCTCCCACGCCCCGGGCTCGAGCGGCTCGGGGCTCCCGCCAGGGGGCCCCGCCCGAGCGGAGGGGGGATGACTCAGCCCCCGAGCCCGGCTCCCCCGCCGCGACCCTCTGGGGCCCCGCCCGGGGGCCTGTCCCCGGCGCCCGAGGAAGTGGCGGCTGCCGGCGCCCAGAGGGTCCGGGAAAGGCCGGCCGCTCCTCTCGCCCTGACACCCCTTTCCCCCGACCCCGCAGGGCTCCCGGGGCCCCGCGGCGACCCCGGGCCTCGGGGCGACGCGGGACCCGTGGGGGCGCCCGGGCCGGCCGGCGAGTGCTCCGTGCCCCCGCGCTCCGCCTTCAGCGCCAAGCGCTCCGAGAGCCGCGAGCCCCCGCAGTCCGACGCGCCGCTCCCCTTCGACCGCGTGCTGGTCAACGAGCAGGGCCACTACGACGCGGCCACCGGCAAGTTCACCTGCAGGGTGCCCGGCGTCTACTACTTCGCCGTCCACGCCACCGTCTACCGGGCCAGCCTGCAGTTCGACCTGGTCAAGAACGGCCAGTCCATCGCCTCGTTCTTCCAGTTTTATGGGGGGTGGCCCAAGCCAGCCTCGCTCTCCGGGGGTACCATGGTGAGGCTGGAGCCGGAGGACCAGGTGTGGGTACAGGTGGGTGTGGGCGATTACGTGGGCATCTATGCCAGCATCAAGACTGACAGCACCTTTTCGGGGTTCCTGGTGTATTCCGACTGGCACAACTCCCCCGTGTTTGCCTGATGGTCCTGCGGATTCGGGCTCCAAGGGGAGAAGCAGCAACATCCTCAGGAGGGCTGGTCTCCCCCCCACCTCCGCCCCCAAGTTGTGATGACCTCAGGGGGTGCTGAGGGACCAGGAACAAGGCTGGTGGTCCCGGTCCCCAGGGCTGAGTTTCTTCTCCCTCTGGGGTGCTGCAGCTGTTCCCTGGCCCAGGCTGCTGAGGTGGGGTGCCTGCCAAGGTGGGGTGCGCTCTTCCTGCTCCCCTGGTCCCTCTGTCTGTCCCCCCCTGTCCCTGGGCCCTTTTCTCAGAGAGCATTCAATAAATCTAAGCCGCTCCCACGGGCCTGAGCTGTTTCTTTAAGGGAGGAGATGCCCGGTTCCGGGGTGGGGCAGGGGCAGGCTGGATGGAGGGAAGGGGCAGGAAATGCAGGGGGTCCCAGGCCCCTTCATCCTCCCCTCCTCTGCTGACCTGGGGCTCTAGCAAACTCCGGAGCAATCAAGGGAATGGGCTGGGGAGCCTCGCCTCACCCCAATTCCCTGACCAACACAAAGGGCAGCAAGGGGCCAACGGTGCCTGCTTTGGCCAAGGCAAAGCCTCCAAGCACTGCAGTGCATGCTCTGCCCCAGGACGCCTGCCTGGGTTTGACCCTCAGCGCCTCACGTCCCTTCCATCGCCAGTAGCCAGGAGTCACCAAGATCCCTTGAGCTCGGCCAGATGTGGCCCCTGAAAGCTGTCCTTGCAGGCACCAGTTCAATCCCTTTCAATCCCGTGCAGTCATGGAATGTGCGATAGCGAGCACCCTGGAGAGAGCCCCATCACTGCAACAACAGGAACGGGCGGGGCGCGGGGGGCGGGGGGAAGGGAGCCCGGGATTTTCATTCATGACTGCCCTGGCCCTGGCCGCCTGCCTGGTGCCCAGATGACTAGAAAGCTATTTCTCTGTTGCGGGTGCCAGAGGCGCCGGCCGTCGGAGCCGCCGCGCGCGAGGCGACCGGCAGGGGGCGCCCCGGCCCCGGGATGCAGGCGGCTCCGGCCCAGTGCACCAGGGCGGCCGCCTGCCCGCCCGCCCAGAAAGGACTGCGGCCGCGGTGCGGGGACACGGGCGCCCGCCCTCCCGGAGGGGGAAGTTTATCTTCTCTCGAACGTGTTTATCCTCACACTAAACAGACTGGTAGGAGCCGGCCTGCCGGGGCCCGGCGCCCCCTCCGGCACTGCCCCGCCGCGGCGCGGGGCGCGAGCCCACTGCGCTGGACACCGCGTGGGTGGGCCGCGCCACCAGGTCTGACGCTAGCCACAAGGCGCCCGGCGCCGTCTCGGACCTCCCCCCGCCTCCAGTCCCCAGCCAACCTGCGCCAGTCTCTCCTAGCCCGGAGCAGGGGGGCGTCCTTCCTCCCGTTTCTTCCCCATCCCGCGGACCCCCCTTTCCTTTCCCCTCCTCCTGCCCCTCCCCCAGGCTGCGCCGGGCATTAAAGGCCCGGCGGGGACAGGGGGCGTGGTCCACTGCTGGCCACGTGAGGGCATATCTGACCAATGGGGGCTGGCCGAGGAAGTGCGCAACGGGCCGACTTGGGGGTCCTCGGCGGCGGCTTGAGCCCTGCCACCCCCCTTGCGGTGCCGCCTGTGCCCAGGCGGACAAGTGCCAGTCCGCGAGGCTGGCCTCGGGGTCGCAGGCGCCCCAGCGCCCTCCTGGGCGACTTGGGGGGAGGGGGAGCATCCCACCAGCCGCGCCTGGGACCTGGCTTGCTTTCCTGATTTCCGTGGGCTGCAGCGGGGACCCCAGCAGGACCCTGCAGAGCCCATTCTGCGACTGTTCTCACAGACAAGGAGGCACCCCGAGGCCATCGGAGTTGTCAACAGAACTTTAATCACAACAAAGGGGCTACAGACCCCTGGGGGGGCGCGCGCCCAGCCCTGGTCCCTGTCCAGTCTGCACCCTAGTGAAATGACCATCTGCGCCCCTGAGTCGAGGCGAGAGGGAGGAATGCGGCTGTTCTCTAAGGTGGGGAGTGAAAGCCGGGTGAGAAATCTGGGTGTCCCTCCAGAAACCCCCAGTGGAACGGGGGTGCTGGAGGGTCCTTGGTCCCAAAGCCAAGTGTCCATGTCCCTCCACCAGGACGACCCCACTGGAGGAGTCAGGCTGGAAGGACACCTCTTAGGGAGGTGTGGCTTGGGCCGCCTGAGAGGGGAGCCCCAAAGCCTAGGCTCAGAGGTTCTCTCTGAAAACAAAGGCTCAGGATGCTGCCCAAGCCCGGGAGTTGTCCTGACACCCAGATAACACTGATGTGCTGCGGCTGCAGAAGCTGGGAAGGAAGTGGGGAGCGGGCAGGAGACGTCCTGCCAATCCCCCCACTCTCACGGAAGCAAAACCTGATGCTCCGAGAGGGAACCCCGACGCTGGCATCTGGGTGGGCTGGAGAGCCCGTGGCTAGGTCTCAAGCTCTGGTCCACACTCACCACCCGCAGCAGCATGGGGTCCCTCTGGGCAGGACAGCAGACCCCTGGCGAACCCCGTCTCCTGGGGGCGGCCCGGGAGGCGGGGTCGGAAGCCGGAGGGCGTGGCCCTCGTGTCCACAGCCCAATCCCGGGAGGCTGCAGGGCGCGGTGGGCGGGGTGGCAGCGAGAGCTTCAGAGGTAGACGTTGAGGGTCTGCAGGATGCCCCGGCGGCAGAGCGGGCAGTTCCGGTGGTAGACCGGGTGCTGCATGAGGATCTCGGTGCAGTCCTGGCACAGACACAGGTGCCGGCAGGGCAGCAGCAGCACCGTCTTGCTCTGGTCCTGGCAGATGACGCACTTCTTCCGCTCCTCCTGCTCCTTCAGCAACTTCCATGGGTCCTGCCCGGCGGCTGGTTCCTCCTCATTGAGTCTCTCCCGGCCGCGGGATGCTGTGGCCCGGGGCTGCCTCCTTTCCGCCTCTTCTGCCTCCACGCTGGAGCCTGCTTCTGGAAGAGTGTCCTGTTGCCAGGTCCTGGCCACTGGCACCCTCCTCGGGCCACCTTGGGGGGCCCCCGGGGCTCCTCCCCGGTTCTGCCAGCTAGCCAGCTGCAGGCTGCGGCTCCAGACGCGGTGCCAGGCCTCCACACCCAGGGCCAAACGAGACAGCCGCACCACATCCTCTCGGAGCCGGTGGTAGGAAGGCCGGGCCTGGAGCTGCTCGAGGGCCCGGGTGGCGAGCCTCAGGGCGAAGTTGGGGTGCAGCGCTGTCATGGTCACCGCCAGCACACAAGCCAGCAGGATCAGGCCGGTGAGATTGACAAGCACGAAGCTAGCCAGGAGGCGGGCGGCAGAGGCCAGCAGCTCCAGGGTCAACTGGCAGGGGGTCCAGAGGAGGATGGCCATGGCAACAGCATTGCTGGACATGTGGGCCAGGAAGGCGGCCACCACGTCCGTGATCCTCAACACGGGCCCCATCACCGCATCCCACAGAGCCAGCACCAGGGCAAAGAGGTTCTGGGTGCCAATGAGACAGATGTTGACCAGGCTGTTGATGACATAGGCCACCAGGCTCATGGCAATGGTACAGACGTCACAGAACTGCCGCAGCAAGGCATGGCCGCTGGAGACCACATTGAAGACCCCTCGGTGCAGGAGCTCCCTGCTCCGGAGCGCCCCGTGAGAGGCCAAGTGCCCCAGGAGTTTGAGGCTCTCCAGGCCAGAGTAGCAGCTGTACAGCAGGGTACACAGGGCCTGCACGCCCCCGAAGGTGAAGCGCACCAGGGCCTCGATCAAGGCCAGCAGCGAAAGCAGGACCCCGCGGCCCAAGTGCAGGAGGCCGGTCAGTACCGTGTGCGGCAGGTTGTAGATGAACGTCAGCAGCCAGGCCAGGGACGTCAGGAGGGAGGACACCAGCAGGAAGTTGAGGTCCAAAACCAAGGTCAGCACGTCCAGCACCAGGCCGACCCCATTCACCACCAGGTACACGGCCTCCATGGTAGAGCTTATGGGCGTTGGAGCGGAGGGAGGTCCAGCTCCAGGTCGAGGCGGGGGTCGGGGTGGTCGTGCGCAGGAAGGGGGGAGTGGGTGGGCGGCGTCGGGGCTAATTTGGAAGGGAAACGAGCCGCCTCTGAGCCGGGGAGAATCGAGAGTCTGAGGATGAAGCAGGTACCCGAGTCCCGGTTTTGCAGGCGGGCTGTTTCGGAGGGAAAAGGCCAAACATGTCCGAAGTCGAGGTGAGCCGCGGCCGAGGAGAGGCCCCGGCTCTGAGGGCCAGGCGCTGGCGTCCACCCGGGCACAGGGTCTGGCCGAGGGGAGACCGGGAGCTGGCGGGGCCGGGCCGGGGCGGGGGGGCGCAGGCTGGGCGCGGGCTCGCGGTCCAGCTACGCAGGTGCCCCTATCCCCGCCCGGCCCCCGTCCTCTCGGCTCGCGGGGCTTCGCGCCCGGCAGGGGAGCGGGGAAGGGACTGAGCCTCAGCGAAGCCCAGGCGCAGCCGCCAGTCCGCTGGGCGCCGCCATCTTGAGTGCGGAGAGGTGGGACAAGAGGCGGGGCAGGGGGGAGGGCGAAGAACGCATTTCAGCCAATCGGCACGGGGCAACCGCCGGAAACGGCGGGCATTCATTGGTCCGTTTGAAGGGCGCCCAAACGTATTTACTTCCCAAAGCGAGGGGCGGAAACCGACGAAAATCCCTGCCCCGCGCTGGCGTTGATTGGTCTTCCTGGGCCTCGTAGCCCCGCCCCTTAAAGGAGCAGGATTTTGGGCTGCGCTAACTATCGATCTGGCCATTAAGCTTCAGTGTGAGTTTTTTTATTATTAAATTAAGTTAGTAATTTGTATTTGTTTTGTTTTGGGCCACACCCAGAGGCCCTGGGGCTCACTACTGGTTATGCGTTCAGGGATCATTGTTGGCGGTGCTGGGGGTGTCCTCTGGGTTGAGGGGATAGAACCTGAGTGGGCTGCGTGCAAGGCAAACACAATACCTGCTGTACTATCTCTCCATATTTATGTTTTGTTTTTTAAAAAACATTTAGGATTTTTTTTTCTTTTTGGGTCACACCCGGCGATGCACCGGGGTTACTCCTGGCTCTGCACTCAGGAATTACTCCTGGCGGGGCTCAGGGGACCGTATGGGATGCTGGGAATCGAACCCGGGTTGGCCGTGTGCAAAGCAAACTCCCTACCCGCTGCGCTATCACTCCAGCCCCCATTTAGGATTTTCTTGGGGGGGGGGGGGGAGCGGTGAAGCATACCCAGGTCCTTGGGGATCGTTCCTGGAGATAGAACCAGGCAGGGCACTGCTCCAGCACTTAATGCGCCCAGCCCTTTGAGCTTTCTTCCTGGTTTCCTGTTTTCTTCCACTTCCATCAGAGACTTTGTTCCTCTCCTCCGTTATTTCGATATCAGTCCCTTCCACAGAACCACTTTGTAATGTTGGACAGCTCCTGGGTACTCCACTCTCTGCTTCAAACTCAGGGTGACCAAAATCAAACTCAGCCTAGTGTGAATGCAGGTAACCAGCCTGTCTACCACCACGAGAAAAGCCTCAGAGCCCCCTGGATCCTTGAAGACAATATTTCCGTTAGTTCAGGGACCAAGACCTCCATATACCTGAGACCTCCTCATGCCAAGTCACCTTTAAGTAAAAACAAAAAAAGAAAAAAAAAACCCAACTCTTCCTTCTTCAACTGGAAACATAATGGCCAATGGCTGACAGCACTGTGTTGACACATGTCTGAGAAGCAGGGAGGCCTCCCCACACCTCATTCCATCTCTGACACCACATATGGTCCCCCAAAGGATCACTGTTAGGAATGATCCTTAAGCATAGAGCCAAGAGTAAGCCCTGAGCCCCACAGGGTGTGACCCAGCCACCCTTTCCCCAAAGTTGGTAGTAATCCTAAGTAAGATCCCTATTTATTTATTTATTTATTCATCTTGGGTCACACCCTGCGATGCACTGGAGTTACTCCTGGCTCATGCACTCAGGAATTACTCCTGGCGGTGCTCAGGGGACCATATGGGATGTTGGGAATTGAACCCGGGTCAGCCGCAGGCAAACACCCTACCCGCTGTGCTATTGCTCCAGCCCCAGTAAGACCCCAATTTAAAGACCACGAATCAAACTCAAGGCAAAGCACTCAGTTGCATCTCTAGATCCGTCAATTTGTAGGGGAGGCATACCCATCGATGCTCAGGAGTTACTCCTGGCTCTGTGCTCAGGGATCACTGCTGGTGGGGCTCTGGGAACCCTATGTGGTATTAGGGATTAAACTCAGGTTGGCTGTGTACAAGGCAAGAGCCTTCCCAGCTGTGCTTTCTCCAGCCTAAGGCCTGTTAGACTGAATGTCATAGCACTGGAATCAGACCTCATGGCACGTTTCAAAATGAACTGCTTTTGGGGTTGGAGCCATAGCCAGTGGGTAGGGAGTTTGCCTTGCACATGGCCAACCTGGGTTCAATTTCCCAGCACTCCTTATGGTCCCTTGAGCCTGCCAGGAGTGATCCCCGAGTAGAGAGCCTGGAGTAAGCCCTGAGCACCACAGTGTGTGACCCCCCACACCATCAAAACAAAACAAAAAACAAAAAAACCCAAACTCTTTCTAGCCCTGACATGTAACTCTGTGATAGAGCACGTGCTTTGAATGCATGAAAACCACAAGAAACCAATAAATGAATGAGTTTCTTTAATTAGAACGTGGGACTTGTCCTATATGTTCCTGATTTGCTGGCTTGCTTTGTCTTCCCCTGAATGCAGTGTCACTGAATGGATCTTTGCAGTTTGTTCATCTGTTCATTGATTGAAAGATGTGTTTGGGGTTTATAAGTTTGGGACAGATGACTAAAACACTAAAGCAGCTTGGGCTGGAGTCATAGTACAGCAGGGAAGGCACTGGCCTTGAATGCAGCTGACCCAGGTTCAATCCCCAGCATCCCATATGATCCCCTGAGCACTGTCAGGAGTAATTCCTGAACTCAGAGCCACCAGGAGTAACCCCTGAGCATCATCAGTGAGCATCACCAGGTGTGTCCCTGAAACCAAAATAAGTAAAGATATTAAAGTTGCTATAAACATGCAATAAAAATGCATATGAACCAGTCACCTGAGGGAGAGGAGGAAAAAGGAACCCGAGAAAATGGGATCTTTGCACTCAAGTCTCTGGGTCTTCTGCTCTGGTCACCCCATCTATGCTCCACACCCATAGCTGTGGTGACTCTACCCTCCTGCTGCCTGGCTGGCCCCAGGCAGGACACTGACCCCAATCGGGGTTCTGACACCTTCAACGACATATGCTGCATCTATGTTTGAGATGCTAGATGCCCGTTCTTCCAGGAAGCCTTTTGTGACTATTCCAGGTGCGGTGAAGTAAGTGCTCATGTGCACATATGCACCCCAGGACTTGGCTAATGCTCTCAGAATCCTTCATCTATCTGGCACCTTGTTCTTGTGACCATCCTGTCTCCGGTCCCTGGCTCAGACCACACAGCATGGTGCTGTGCAGTTAGGGGTCAGAGACGGGAGGTACTGCAGTGTCCTCTCCTTCGCCCGGAACCTTCACATCCACGGGTCACCTCTGCTTCCCCGCAGTGCTGTCATCACTTAGGATGAATCAAGAAGTCCGGTCTGAGCGGACCACAGAGGAGGAAGGGAGGAAGTAAATACAGGCCACCAGGGGGTGCTCTCGAGCAGAGACGAGCTGGAGGAATCCCCAGCCAGAGATACAGAATAGGGCTAAAACTGGGATTCCATCTCCGGGACCTTTTTATATGGCAGCCCCCTCAGCACCACCAACCCCCTCCCCAAAAGAACTCTCCAGGCCGAAATTTCCCAAGCCCACCATATCGTCAGATCCAGTGGCTTATCCCAAGGCCTGGCCCTCCCGCTCTGCATCCTGGACTCTGCAGGCATGTGACACCATTGAGTACCAACTGTTTGCATAAGCCTGGGCGTCTGGAAAGGAAAGTGATGGAATCCCTGTGCAAATACAGAGGCTGGCCAGGTCCCCCCAGCCTCCCTGTAGTAACAAATAAGGAATTGCAAATAAGTAACTGCATGTAATGAGAATTATGAAATTGTAAGGAGAACTAAGAAAATGTAATGGGGACTGGGAACCTGAAACTGAGCACAAGGTTAACCAGAGAAGGGAAGAAGAGGAGTTTTTCTTTTGCATGACCCTAATCAGCTGGGATAGGGCCCGTCAGACTTATGGGCCAGCACAAAAGGCAGCACGTGAAGGCCACACCAAATGGGCAAGGGATAATGACACAGACATTTTTGGGACACCTGAAGGTTGGGAATGATGCTTTTTATTTTTTTTCCTTTTGTGGCTTATAGCTCATTCTTAGAGAATAAAAGAAAGACACTCTTAGCAATCGCGACTCCAATTGGTTGACTTGGGGTCCTCAGTGCTGAGCCTCTAATAAACTCGCTATATTATTCTCTTACCCTGAGCGCTCTCTCTCTCTCTCTCTCTCTCTCTCTCTCTCTCTCTCTCTCTCTCTCTCTCTCTCCCTCCCTCTCTCCCTCTCTCTGTTCATTTGTGGCTCTCACCAGCACAACCCTCCCCTCAAGCCACCTTCCCTTCCGACTGGAGCGTTTCGCTCCTTAAAACTCCTGACAGAAATTCAGCAGCGTCCCAGGACGGGGCACCTCTCTGTGCTGGTCTCTGTGCCCATGCTCTGCCAGCCTGGAATCCCCACCCCTCCACTCCCGGTCCCCTGGTGGACCTTTCTCTGTACTTCCAGAAAGACTGGGCTGGCCTGGGGCCACAGCCTTGTCTACATACACCACGGGACTCAGCCAGTCACTCCCTCACCTGTGCAGGTTGACTAATTCTGATCTAAACATGACAGGTGCTGGATTTGGGAAAAGTCACGAGTGACTTCCTGGGGTGGGGTGGGCATGCCAAAGAGAGAGCGGCAGAACACCAGGGCTGCTCACACCCCTACGAGGGGCTGTCACCTGGGTGGGTCACAGGCCGCAGCTGTGCGTGGACACCCAAAGGGCCACCCATGGGGGGGTGGGGAGGGGGTGTTTCTGTGGCGCTTAGCTCTGGGACTAGCTTTAGCTTTTCCCCCTTGCTAGGGTTTTGCTGTAAGGACCAGCAGAGAAGCTGGGGAAGCGGATCATCTCTGGGGGTGAGGTCAGTGCCAGGAAAAGGTGCACAGAAGCAGCTCCAGAAGCTTCTGTACCATTCTGAGTATGGACCTGCCTGCTCTGGACAGCTCTCGGGTAGACCCTGCCAGGAAGTGGCGAGACCCAGGCAAGAAGTAGACAAGTAGACAGGCAGCTCCAGTAAGAGCTAAGTGCCCTGCAGCAGGGAGCACATGACAGGGGTGAGGTGGAAGTGATGTAGGCAGGTAGACAGGGAAGGCCCCCTCCCAAGCAATGACAAAAGCCAGCCCTGCAGAAAATAGGAAAACAGGAACTAAGGCTTAATAAGACCCTCACCTGGCTCCAGCAACAGACCCAAAGAAGCTCCTGCAGGAACAGAAGGCCAGGAAAGGAATTTCAAAGAAGACCATCACCACTCC